ACTCTGCATTGCTCCGCCATCTTGTCAGCACTCTAGTTTTTTAATAGCTCTATGAGCCAATCAAATTTCGCTAAGCGCCATCGTTTGCAAATGCGCCCTCAATTTACTCAGAAAGTTCAGTACAGCTAGTTACCTGTATGTTTGAAACTCGAGAGTTGCGGTGTTTGGGTGTAATGTATACGATTTTAATTTTCATTCCTTGGTACTTTATTTTTGAATAAGATGCTTCTCTTGGCCTCGTTTTGGCTACAATAGTTCAATAATTTGTTATTACCATTACTCATTATCATTAATGAAATAATAGTCAGTCAGAAGGCTTATTAATATGTAATAATATGTATACTAAGCCTGAAGGTGGCGCTTTACTACGACGGCCATCTTGGATGGTACACATACATAACTCTGCATTGTTGCGCCATCTTGTCAGCACTCTAGTTGTTTAATAGCTCTATGGTTATTTTATAGTTTGTAGCATTCCTAGTACCATTTTACTCTTTTATCGGACGGCTTTTATCTTTGTTTTGTTATCGATTCTACGCTTCCTTCTACATAACAAATACAGCAAATAAAATGAATACTAAAAATTTGGTATTTCTCTTATGTACGGTATTGTTTTTTGATATCATTATTATTCTTTCTTTAGGCACACAACACATGTGCCAAGGATTGTCAATAGCAAATATATATCACTGTCCTACAGTGGAGTTGAATAGCTTGGTGGTTAAGATGCTTGCCTTCCAATCCCAGGGTCCTAAGTTCAATTCCTGCCAGTTGCAGGATTTTTTCTCAAGACATAAACACCTCCACTCCCTAAAACTCATATTGAGATTTAGTTTGTGTAAAGCATCGTGTGTGTATGTTTGTCTTGTGTAAGGGATTATATGATATGTATAAAAATCATAATTTTTATCAGGAAAAACCAGTCAACTCGTTATTTAAATTACTGTAACATTAGTTTATTAACAATTATATTTATTAGTATTAAAGTTTATTATTACCCAGTCAGCAGCATGCTGACTGTATTCTGTTTCTGAGCAGTTCCTTCTTTCTTTTCTTTCTTTCGTTCTGGCAACATTTTAAAAGGCTACTAGTGGAAAACTACTGGACCGATTTAATTAAAACTTGGTCAGTAGGCAAGCCCGTAGCCAGGGGCGTTCGTTGGGTTCGATCGAACCCCCCTTTTCATGAAGTGCCCTTTCAACAAAGGCTGGCTAGCCTACACTTTAGTCCTATTTTAATACCCGATTGTTAGGCTTACCTAGTAACATAAAAAATTCAGGCCCCGAAACCTTGACTCAGAAATACCGGGATGGTGTCCGGCGGGGGATAGTTTCACCTGTGTGTATATATATATATATATAATATATGATTATAATACGCTACAACCAACCATACAAATTTGTCTCGGTTCTTTTTGTTATTGATTGTCTTAAGTGCGTATAGTATGATACAACTTCCAAAGTGCTATATAAATAAAAAATAAAGAATATCCAACTGGATTCTTTGGAGTTTGTATCATGCTACTGTTGTTAAATTACCAATACTCTAGTACTAAAGTAGTAGTTTTTTTTTCTTTTTTTTTATCTTTTCCCAACTCAAAAAATTTACCTCTTTAATATATACATTTTTTTTAATGTATGGCCTCTCAGATCAATTAAATAACACCTGTAAATGCTTAGAATGCTGGACCCCCACCTGGGTTTTGGCCCTGGATCCCCGGGGGGGGCCCTTTGCAGCCCCCCTGGCCCCAGCCAATGGTGCTCGCATTAGTATCAAAAAGAACCCCCCTACCAAAATCCTGGCTACGGGCTTGGTAGGACCGGTGCCAACTCCCATTTATGTGTTGTTCACAACTTGGAGTCAAAGGTCACATAAGGGGCATTGGGGTCAAAAAACCAAAAATCGTAAATCTTGTCCTTTGCACATATACACTGGCATAAGGCAGAGTCTATAGGGTGTTCAGGGATAAGGGGTCAAATGTCATAAGGGGAAATTTTTATCTTTTTTCTGGAAACATTTCAAAACGCTACTAGTGCCAAACGGTTGTGCCGATTTTTAACCAAATTTACTAGGAATGATCCTTAGGACCTTCTAAACACAAAAATTACAAACGATTGAACGGAATTCAATCAAATTTGATCATTAAGAGCCTCTTACACCCCAGTCTGGGATCAGGGGTAACATAGAGGTCAAATTTTCAAAATAGCCCATGGATTTGAGCTCGAATTTACCAGGAATGATCCTTAGGACCTTCTAAACATGAAAAAAAAATACTTTTCGCCTATTGGTCAAAAGTCAAAATAGGTAATTTTGGTGAAAGTTATCAAATATTGCTAATGACTAACGATTAGACCAACTGCATTAGACAGACTCCTACCAAACATGGGGTGTTCACAGCTTGAGGTCAAAGGTCATGGTGGGTCAAATCCTGAACCAGAGCCTTGCAGGTGTCAACGTTCCTATGCATGATACACAACTTTTAGAAGTATATATACGTGTATATATATATATATATGTACTGCTGTTGCCTAGATCAGTTGCCTGACGATCGCAATAGCGTGAAACTCCGAGTAGCAACATTCTGTTCCAGCGACCTCCAGTTCTATATATATATGTATATATATATATATGTATGTATATATATATACATATATGTATATATATATATATACGTATATATATATACACATATACGTATATATATATATATATTCATATATATACATATATATATATATTTATACATATCATTTAGGCCTATATCATTGATTCTGACCATTGATCCATAACATTGTTCTTACAGATTTTCTATTCTCTTCACAGTTCATTAGTTTAAGATTATACATAGTTTATCATATCTAGTTAATACAGCCTAATTACCATCTCTTCCTTCAGACACTCTTACGC